CTTCAATAAATGTTTTCTCCTACATCAGAGTGCAGCGCCACACTAAATACGTACTAGAAATGACAATAGTTTAAAGCGATTTGAAGCATGTTTTTTTGGGGGGGTAGAGCTTCGTGACGTCATATTTGAGGGGAGTCTGACTTTTTGTGACGCCGTATGACGAAGGAGGGGGGGGGGGTCAAAAATCGTCCAAAATCGCGTGACGTCATTTATGGACGGTCCCATTGTCTTCCATCTCAGTGGTTACGCCTTGCAGTGGTGTGTTCCATAATTCACCATTCCGCGAGACGTTCACCTGCACACATCCCGGCGACACCACAGCATGGAGTCTAATTGGGTGTGCGGACACACTGCGATGCGGGAAACTTCTCATCATCTCTCTATGGTCTCTTATGAACCGATACCCCATCATCTTGAGTCAGATCCATCTTGCGCGGTGACGTCGGCGCCAGTGTTCAGACCTGGTTGATCTTGTTGATTCTGTACCTGTGCATTATGACATGGCCACGTGTGTGTGTGTGTGTGAGTGATAAACACATCCACTTGACGTTTTGCGCCTGTACTCAGAAACTTTTAAAAATAAAACCATGAGTGTGTTTTGGCACTGGCTGAGAATACATTACTCTGATGCCCAACAGAGGGCAGTACAGCCCAACGTCATCTCAAAGTTAAGGCAAAAATAGGAATGGGACATTAAAAGAAAATCGTTAATATATTAAACACTCTTTTTTTATTAAATGAAAACTTAAAAGTACACCAAGAGATCTGAAATGAAAGTTTTTTTCTTAATTCCTTACAGCTAAGAGCAATGTAAATATAAAAAAACAACGTCTTTCTAAGAAAATAAAAACGTATTATCTAAGCAAATAAAATAGCAAAATAATCTATTAAAAGGCTATCGTTGAAAGGTCAAAACTCAACCAATAACAAACTTACGTCTATACTTTCCCGAATATTAACTTTAAACCTATCTACAGTATAGACAGTATATGCTGTAGATAGTATATCCGTACCTCCAATTAACACGGTTGGCTCCGTATGGTGCAAAATAAGTTCAACACAAATGCAAATACACAAATCAACGACGTTTGGAAATGGACCAATATTTGGATGTGAAACATTTCCATATTCCCCAGGGGCAGCTACTTAAAAAAACACGATGATCCTAGGAAAACCAGAACAGGTAGAAACACGCCTATATATTTGGCTGCTCCTTCTCTGCTCTGAAGGGCAATATAATCACAAGCATACTTTTATGTTGGATGGCAGTGTTTATTGAATGTTTTTTCCCCTCCACATTTAGAAACATACTTTTAGAGTATTTGGCTGCTATAAATTTCCACATTATAAACCACTTCGCCGGAGCTATCATTTGTGGTCAGGCCGCTTCTGAAAAAGAGCCATATTGCTCAGTGGGCTTTAACTGGTAAAATAGAATGTGCTGTTTCTGAGATTGTTTTGCCCCCACATGTATAAGCTGACCGAGAGATGATTCTATCCGTCCCCATGCCCCAAGGCGTCACCCAACAGTCAGTTGCATAAAACCCTTAAAATGACTTCCCCACCCCTTTAACGTTTACTGTTTAAAACTACAAAGGAGTTAAAATTACACTTAAGATGTTCTAATTGAACCAACCAAAGCAGTAGTCTTTATTCATGGGAGGCGGGTGGGGATACAACCCTGGATCTAAACTCTCAAAGTGCTCTCTGCATAAACTCCACAGGTGAGGGCATACATTTGCACTGCGATACTTTACATGGCAATGTTTTACGAAGTGACGAATACAAGTGCACGTGAAAACCTTTTCAGTGGTCATTATGTCCCAATAAAGATCAGTACAGTATTATAAAAATTGTCAATGGTGATTACATTCCATCTCAATTGGTTTCCTCTGATTTGCAACATAATTCTGAACTAGGAATTAGCTGAAAATACGTACCAATGCTGGGCCCTCCATTTTTGATGCACTTTTGTGATCGTTACAAATACGCAGCAGACACCTTAAAGGGCGTCCCGTTGTTCTTGAGATGTATTCATTCATTTTCTTGTAACCTATCATCATTTAGATGGTGGTTACATCCCGATTGCGAATGTATAAAACGCATTAGCCAACCTCTTTGAAACTCACAGGACCAGCCAACACCCCTACCCTTCTTCCACATATTGATTTCACAAACATCCCTTCTATTTATCGCACAACTTGCTGCCCAAGCGACAGCAGGGAACGAGAAGCAAGACAACTGCATCATGTACCTCCCCGACTGACCTCTGGAACCGGTGGCTGTCACTGGCTGGCTTACAGGACCCGCATCGCAACCTCCGCGACTCTCCCGCTGCGCACGCGCACGCCCGCACACACACACGCGCACACACAGACACGCACACGCGCACACACACACACACGCACAGACACGCACACGCGCACACACACACGCCCGCGCACACGCGCACACACACACGCCCGCGCACACGCGCACACACCCGCGCACACACACACGCCCGCGCACACACACACGCGCACACACCCGCGCACACACACACGCCCGCGCACACGCGCACACACACACGCCCGCGCACACGCGCACACACCCGCGCACACACACACGCCCGCGCACACACACACGCACACACACGCGCACACACCCGCGCACACACACACGCCCGCGCACACGCGCACACGCACGCACACACACACGTCCGCTCACATACACACGCCCGCGCACACACACACGCACACACGCACACACGCGCACACACGCATACACACACGCACACGCCCGCGCGCACACACACACGCGCACACACACACAGACACGCGCACACAAACACCCGCGCACACACACACACACGCGCGCACTCTAACACGCACACACGCGCACACGCGCGCACACACGCATACACACACACGTCCGCTCACATACACACGCCCGCGCACACACGCATACACACACGCACACACACCCCGCGCGCACACACACACGCGCACACACACACAGACACGCGCACACACACACACGCGCGCACACACCCGCGCACGCATGCACACACGCACGCACGCACACAGGCACGCGCATACACAGACACACACACAGACACACAAGCGTGCGCTGAATGTCACTGTGTCTATCCTTATCGTTCAGTTTGGTTTCTTTAACACTTGCTACAAAACCGACAAACAGGGGGTAACAGCATTACGCAAGTGACGAAATGTAAAATCCCACCAGCTCCCATGCCATTGATGCCGGACCCGATGTTTGGTTTCAGAAGCACCTTGCCCTCACGGGGACTGCGAGGGAGCGTCGGACGCTGTCAAACAACCGACTCCACGACTGTGTACTCAGGCCATTCAACGCAACATTGTGTTTAATACGAGCCACACACACTACACTCTACGGTGATGGCAGACTCTGGGACTTGCACACATTATTAGTGTGTATGGTCAGGAATCACCAGCGCGCGTGTATAGTAAGATTACAGCCAATTAAGGAATTACTCAGCCACGGTTGAACTAATGCGTAATGAATTGCACGTGCCCATTGCTGACTGTTGTTTTAGCCAATCGGGACACACCCGCTTCTTAACAAACAACAAACATTGCACAAGAATCTTGACAAAGCTCGCACTTATTGTTTTGCTCCTCCAATCAAATGCCTGGTCAGTCATCCCTCAGCGCCATCTACCCTTAGGATCCCAGACAACAGCATCAGATTGTTAAGACTCTATTGTTGCAATGTCCGGTATTAGTATTCCTGTTATGATTGTTATCTTTGTTTTATAGACTCAGTTGTGAAGGCAATGGAATAGTGTGGCCAAGTGCAATCACCCCCACAGCTTTCAGGGATGATCGCCCCCTATCACCCCCTTATGCTGAAAGCTCAGCACTATCCCCCTTCCTTCTAAATTCGTATAGAAAGTAAAACAATCTGAAATGATAACAATTCAACATATACAATACATATAACGTACAGAGCAGAGAGTTAGAACGGAATGCGTGATAGTGACACATTCTGTTGAGCCTCGACAATCGGGTTTGCCTCCCCAACCTTACATCCCCATTAAGACACGGTCACATATACAGGATCGAACTGCAATGCAGTACGTTCATTTCGTAATGTATCAAAATATAAACGAGATTACGATATATAGTTTTAAAAATTCTAGACGGAAACGCTCTCGTACCAAGTAATAAACCGGTATATCTTCAACACGAGGCTAACACGGGAATACATAGACGTCATCAGTGCGGCCAGATACACAAAAGACCCGTGGTGGAATTTTCTCATACAAGCGAATTCCGCAGATAAGTTTGCCTTTGCAAATAATTTAACCGGACCAATAACTCTTAGGTTTTTTTTCGGTAAAGTCACGTAGATAAAAAAAAAATATTTCTATGATTATTTTAAAATTTTACCTACGTGACTTTACCGAAAAAACCCTAAGAGTATGAATCCTTGCAGTCACGAAAGCTTCAAATCTACGGACCAATGACTTCTTGCTTGCAGCAGCCAGCAGCAGCAGCAGCATCGGTCAATGAAACACACAATGACTGCGTGTGAATATGAAAACCAGTTCGTACGGTGTTGTACAGCAACCAGTACAACAACTTCCTCCTAGTACCCGTGACTTTGCCGAGTCGAGCCCCACGACCGACCGAGTGTCCCACACTCAAGCTGCGCGCAGACGCTGGCGACGTGCGGCCCGAGGTAAACAAACGCACGTGGGGGCGGGTCGCGCGCGTGTGGGCGTGTCCAAAATGCTAATGAGGTCGTGGGGCGTGCGCTCAGTATGCTAATTAGACGGGTGGGCGTATCCACCACGCCCGCAGCGAATCGTGTGTGGGCGTGGCGCTGCATGCTAATGAGGCCGGTGGGCGTGGCGCTGCATGCTAATGAGACCGGTGGGCGTGGCGCTGCATGCTAATGAGGCAGGTGGGCGTGGCGCTGCATGCTAATGAGGCCGGTGGGCGTGGCGCTGCATGCTAATGAGGCCGGTGGGTGTGGCCGAGGGAGGGTAGCCGGTCAAGTGCCCCGCGAAGTGACCGCTCGCGAACGAGAAGAAGAGTCGGTGTGCGCTGCTGCCGCCACAGGCTGGCAGGCAATGCGTGAGCCGTAGGGGCTTGCAGCGCTGTCGGCGAAGCGTCGCGACCGGACGGGGGGTCATGTCCCCCGTGCAATACCAGCTGACGATGGCCGCTCAGCAAAGTCAGCAGCAGCAGCAGCCGGAGCAGCCGGACAGTTCTTCACCCCCTCCGCTTGCCATGCCGGTCCGTCCGCAGCAGCAGCAGCAGCAGCAACAGCAGCAGCAGCAACTTCTGCAGCAGCAACTTCAACAGCAGCAGCTTCAGCAACTCCAGCAGTTCCAGCAGCAGCAGCAGCATCATCAGCAGCAGCATAACGACGTGTACGGCGAGCGATGTTGCGATTCCCCTGCGAGCCCCCCCGAGAGCGAGGCGGCCGAGGGCGCCTGCAGCCCCGAGCCCGACTCAGACCCGGCCACCCTCGACCCCGACGCGGCCGAGGAGCGATTTCGCGTGGATCGGAAGAAACTGGAGGCCATGCTACAAGGTGGGCAAGGGTTTGTTTGGTTGTAGTCCGGTGGGTTGTGATGGGTAAGGGTGGGTATGGTGGACAGGTGGGTATGGTGGACAGGTGGGTATGGTGGACAGGCGGTGTGTGATTAGGGTTAGGGGGCACAAAGTGGCAGAGTTTGGCACCGTGGGTTTGATTGACATCATTGACAAGGTGGCCAAGGGTAGGCACACGGCAAGCAAAGGTTAGACCTCGGAGCGTTTGATGGACATTGTGGGCATCCTTGTAAGGGTGAGAAATATTGGCTTAAAGTTGGGCAAAGTTGGCTAGGTGGATTTGATTCACAAGGTTGGTAAGAATTGGCTGATTTGGAAAGAGTGAGCTCGATGCACAATGATGACTGCATGTGTAATTCGGCACATGGTCTAGTGTGTGCGTCTTGTTTTAAGTTGCCAAGCAAGCTCTATGATACGCACTGCAATGTGTGTGTGTGTTTGCCGGTGTGTGTAGGTGCCGTTGTTAGTGTTTGTTGATGAGTGCGTCACTGTTGTGTGTCTGGAGGTGCCGACCTTTAAGCGTGAGTGTGCGTGCGCGGTTGCGCAATCAGGAACAGCTGATCGTAAGTTCAAACTCATGGCATGGCAAAGACGAACTTCACGGACGTAAGTCGTGGGCTTCAGTTGACCTGCACGAATGCAAGGGAAGATCTCGCGGTTGTCATTGGTTGTTGCAGACGATCCAGAGGGAGCCGGTCCTTTCTCCCGGCGAAGTAGTTGAAACAAATGAGAAAGTGTATTAAATACCCCCCCCCCCCCCCCGCCGCCGCCGGCTTCTGTATCCACATAGGGGGCCATCCATCGAGGAGCAACGCGACAATCTGTCAAAACTTGACCCCTTCCCTGTAGGCACGCGGACTTTTTACCCGCACCCCCCAATCCTATAGAACGGTCGACATTTAATCCACGCAGAAACGATCAAGGATTTATAATAATATTAACGCGTTTAAGCAAACAGTCCACCACCGGACTATCTAACTCATTTCAAGGCCAATGTAGACAAATTATTATAGAGGCGTCACTCCCCTACCCCCGTTTCCTATGCGCGCATTGTCAGTAGACCCCCCCCCCATACACAAGCGAACACATTTGGGTTAACCCCCCTCCCCCTTCCATGCGTACGCACTAAATGTACAGCCCCTAGCAGTACAAATGGGTACATCACAGTTAATCGATCAGTAGGTATGGATGAAGTGTTGGGGTTACTCCCACCTCGTTTCAAGACGTCTTGGAAACGAGGTGGGAGTAATATTCAATTGGAGGACCTCTGTATAGCTGCCTCCAAAGGGACGCCTTTCCGCCAGCAAGTGGCGTATAAAGCAAACTATTTCAGGGGCTGCACCTTTACCTGGCCATTTAACACACCGTCAGCAGCATGTGTGACTCTGCGTGTGTGCGTCAACGTATTTGAATAGCAACAATAGTCAACGCCACACAGGGTCTGGTCGTCCTGTGTTGGTTACTTCACAAACTGGAAGAGATCGTAGAGATGTAAGATATACGGATGGCGTTAGAACTTGCAGATTATAATCAAAGCTGGTTTCTAACGCGTTGGCATGCGTATTAAGGTTAGGGAATTGGACATTTCAAAAATATACAATTGACGATGTTTTACCAATTCACGGTCACCGCCGGGTTGTTTATGTAATGCGGTATATATTTAAGAGCTTAGCACTGATTCATTGTACTGTACCTCGACGACACCCGCCTTACTCAGGGCGTATGTGTATTCCGCATTCTTTAAATGCTACAGCAGAGATAATTCACCGAAACGTGTCATTACATACAGTGGTGCTATTATTGTTAGAGAGTGGATGGAGCGGTGGCGCAGTGATTAGCGCGCGCGCCGAACTCTAAAATCGACCACCTGAGTTCGGATCATGATTCACGGCTAATATCAGTGGCGAGTAATATCCGAATCGGTTCTAGAATTGCTGACTTCACCAACCCCGCACTGACCAGCGTGGAGAAGTTCGCTCAAACAACTCCCACGAGCAACACGGCGTTGGGGAAACTTTCATCCAGCAGTGGATTGACAAATGTCTTGAGTATTATTAGTGCCGTATAGATATACTCTACATCAACCACGTTATGTTGTTGTAGCCTAACTTCCTTGACTTATTAGCATGTGTATGAGTAATTTTGTCACTCGAATTTTTGTTCATAAACACAAAAAAGTTAACTTTAACTTCATGTGCAGACTTTTGTCAATCTAATGTTGGATAAAGGCCTCCTGTAATCTTTATCGATCCAATTGTATTATTTAATCGCTACACTCTATAAAACGGACACATGTAATTTCATTTTACGTCCAATTTGTGTATTCTTCATGTATATGTAGTTTTTAATATTGTAATAACTGGTCCATTTAAATAATCGCAAACAACAGTTATCTAAGTAAAATGGGGTCAAGCGCTCGCCGAAATTAGATCCCATCATATATCGTGTCACTTTAGACACCTACACGAATACACACTCATACAAAGACAAAGATGCCTTGTATAGCCATCACAGACTGTTGGAGCAAATGCTGCTAACGAGCACCTATGAAGGCCAGCACGGTACGCATGGGGGTGGGTGGCGAGCACTACTCCCGACCGCCTTTGTCTCTCCAGTAGCGATGTTTACACACCGCAGCGGGTACTTATTTGAGACTGAGTCGACCTAGAGGAGGTCCAAGACCAGTTCAGATATTTGTCACCGATGTTGGCCGTGAGCGGGAATCGAACTCGGGTCGCCGGGTTTCTTAGCGCAGCGCGCTAACTGCGACACTACCAATTCTCACACACTCATACACACCAGTACATTACATGCGCACCAATTCACACACTCATACACACCAATTAACACCAATAAACATTTCTATAAGTGCCGAATACACACTCCCACTTGTACGCACCAAAATACACTTGCACAATCATCCATATTTGTAATAAATGGTGTCTGTTTCTTCGTAAAATACGTTAAATTACTAAACACTACGATGACTACATAATACCATATACACTCGAATATAAAGGGTACATCAACATGATCCGACTATTTCATTTAATTCATATAAAAATTGCTGAAAAATTACATTAAAATCTTTAGTTTTCTCACAATAAGTTTAGACTATAATCACAAACGAACATGCTATGGGGAAGCAGGGATTGTTATTGACAAAGGGCTTAAACAGACACTTTACAGATAGCAATATTGTTTTGGCTCCGTAGCGTCTTTTGTAAAGCTTTAATAAATGCTGAGCTTCACACCCCTCTTTTTCAATCTCGTGGAACAAAGCTTCCCAGGGATAAGAGTGCCAATCACTCCTAACTTGACACATGAAGCCTCCACTCCAGAAGCAGCCAACCACTTGCACTCCGCTGGCACGCATTACTGGTGGTCAGTCGGTCGGTGAGTCAGTGAGTGTAAGGTTTTGTGTTTTGAAGTTTAGAAGGCAATTCAGCCCATTGGTTAAGGTGAAGATAGAAATGCGGTCAGCAGGGTATTGTTGCAATGTACCATTGAATGGTAAAAGCGTTCATTCGTTTAATGCATTTGCCTCAGTTTTTTTTAATATAGCCAACTGTCATTCTTCTCAAAAGTCTCCCACTAACTCACTTAAGGGAAATGAAAAATAACATACTTCTAGAAAAGTGAATGCAGTATATTATTATTACTCTACAGGGTTAACATGAAATAAGCTCGAGACCCAGTCTCTTGATGATTGGATTGGCTTCGACCCCACAAAAGCAACATGTTCGCGCAAACACGAGACGTGCATAAAAATGGACGCAAACATTAAGCCGAAACCCACGCAGACACACGAACAAAGACATACGCTCGTTGTGCTGATGCTCAGAATGTGGTTAAGAATAATTTTAAATATATATTTTGTCTGTATCTTATTGCCAAAGTTTCTCTAAAACTAAACAGGTCTAGACATAGGTAAGCTGTGGGGTAAATTTGGTAGTGATTGGTCTAGGTTTTTGGATGTTGTAGTTTTCATTAGAACATGGGACGTGTCCTGGGTCGGTGTGTGGACAGACGTATGGACAGACACATTTTCTGGACATAGTAATAGGCAGAATTTTGGTTCACTTAAAAATTCGGGGATTGCAATGGCAATATCAAAGAAGGGCCATTGTACAAATATAATTTTACATTTCTTCATTGTTTATTTATATTCATTGGAGGCGAGCTATGAACCTATAGTCTGAGTACAGAATTACTTACAAAATTTTAGAAATTGTGCAAGCTAAGACTTGTGCGAATTCCAAGTCCCTTAGGGACTTACGTGAAAGATATCGCGTAAGTTCCGAGAGAACTTAGTTGTGATCCAGACCACCCTTAAGTCCACTATGACTCATGTCCACACGTGTGCTCTCACTAACAAAGACAAAGATCACCCGTATAGACTTTAACACACTTTAGGAGTAAGTGCTGTTCGTGAGCACCAATGAAAGCCGGCACGGCACACGAAATGAGTGGCCAAGATCACGCCCGGCCGCCTTTGTCTCCAGAGTGACGATATTTATACACTGTGCCAGGTACTCATTTAAGGCTGAGGCGACCTAGGGGAGGCCTAGGTCCAGTTCAGATAATCGTCACTGGTGTTGGCCTTGAGCGGGAATCGAACTTGGGTCGGTGGGGAAGTAGTGCAGTATACTAACCACTACGCTACTGTTCCCAAAGACAAGACACACAAGCACACAGCCACATAATCTCACAAACACACACACACACATCCAAACATAGAAACACATGTACACAATCACGTACAATTTCTCTCCCTATACAAACATGCACCGTCATAAATAGACAAAGATCCTCCACATAGCTTTTGAACAGACTGTTAGTAAGCACTTAATAAGGCCGTCATCGCATATGGTAGATACATAGATACACACAAACATAATAGTAGACACAATTTATAACGCATGCATATTTCACAAATCAGACACACTGTTCGATTGATAACTCAGAGGCACTAAGCCA